GGGGGGGGGGGGGGGGGGGGGGGGGGGGGGGGGGGGGGGGGGGGGGGGGGGGGGGGTTCACAGCGTCCCGAACATTGGGTGGCAATGCCAACAATGTGTTCGCTGCCGGTGTAATCTAGTACCTTTCCCTTTCCCCACGTGCTTTGACAACCAAGGGAACATGCTCCACAAAGATCGTGCGAGGGTTCGGCTATTGAGCACACGTTCAAGGAGGGCGAAAAACGTCTTAATTACTGTGTAAAAATGAGTCGTCGTTTGTCAGCTCATGTTGACGTTCTTGCTATTGCTCTAGCGCTTGTGTCTAGAGTCGTATTCGTACGTTCTTGCATGTCCCGAGTAATGGCGTTGTTACGGACGCAGACTTTACTGTAGAGCGGGAAGCCTTTGATTCTGTTCATGTCGCTGTTGGCATTGCTGATAGCGCATTTGTCTCTCTCTTCTGTTTGGCTTTGTTCTACATTGTTTACCGCTAGGGAAGGCGTTGCGGATGTATGTAATAATCTTGTGGTGGGCGGTTACCAAATACAAAGGAACGTGCTGTGGAGCGCGTGCTGCGCCGACAAGTTTTCGCTTGCTCGTCTCCTTTGTTTGTCCACTCCAACACGGAACCTACCAAGAGGGGAAGGTGTTGGTGGAGAAGCGCGAGTGCACCAGGGCAAGATGGGACGTGAAGTCCGGCTGCTGCAGGTCCAAGTAGTAGGGCATGACCTGTGTGTGCAGTTGAAAAATTTACAAGAGCGAACCACCGGACAATGACATTCAAAATTTTGCACTTCGGTGGGTTGCGTCCAATGAAACACGACGGCATATGCATGTGCTTTGGTTGTGCGGGTAGGAGACGCATTCAACAAGGATAAAGAGAGCAAGTCACCAAGGGACCAAGAGTGAAAACCGACGGTAAATCTTCAACGGGTCCCAACACACTCAGCTTGCCAACGTTATGACGCGATATTTTACACAAGATGCATGTGGGCGGCATGCCTGCCAAAAAAAACACGAGCATGACCCAGCCTGCAGGAGACATACGAAAACCATTCGTTCACACGCACCCTGCCGAATAGAGAGTGCAGTAGAGAGCGCAAACATGTTTTTCCCTGAATTCTGAAGTTCTATCCATACAGACAAACAATAATTTAGTTCTCAGCCGACCTGCTCGGGCGACAGCTGTCCCTTGTAGGTGATGGTCTTAGCGCTGAGACTGCACACGTAGAAGCTCTGCGTGTCCGAAACCGTCAGCACTGGGACGGAGTCGGCCTCCTTGGTGGCCGCCTGCGAAAAAAAAAAAACAAGAACAATTTCCAACAAATTACGGTGTTCGTACATAGACTAGTGCACGTATTCCAAACAATAGGATAAATATGGCAGGGTTGGGGGGGGCAAAACAAAAAGCTGAAGAGGGAGAAACATGTTGATAGTATAGAGGAAAGTAAGAACAGACCCGACGTCGATACCAAGGACCGACATGCTTCTGGACGGGCTAGATCGGTGCGAGTATATGATTTGCTACTGGAGCCCATACTATACCCATGTACGCATATCAAACACATGAAACATCTCGCACGTAGTACCTAATCATCGAGAAACCTCAACGTTAGCGAGGGACGCAAAAAAACACGAAAAACTACGATACGTCTTTCGGTTGCAACCCTTCCTGTGTTTCTGGGTTAAGTGGTGGGCCCGGTTTAGCGACATGCCTTGGCGTCAGGCACGGTTGCTACCGCCCGAATGGCGGCACCAATGCTCTAGACGAACAAGGTAAGAGGGGTGGCGGGCGACTCCCGTCCGGCCGCCCGTCCCCTTACAAACACAAACCCACCTTGCGGACGCGGTAGAGCTCGCGCTCGAAGTCCCAGCTAGGCCTCCTGTCGGAGTTCTCGACGAACACCTGGACCACGTGCGGCTCCGTGCCCTTGGCTGTGTCTCCGATCATCGAGTTGTCGTAGGGCACGTCTCTCCACCCGATCACCTGGCCGGGTGGTTCGCGGGAGACAATAGAAGGATTCTTGGGTTTTCATGCTTTCAAAGAGACAAACCGTCGTAAACGGGAAAGTACTGAATGGAGGCAGTGGTCTTCTCCCAGGCTTCACTACAGCACAACAATGGCACATCTCGCAGTTCGCTCTTGGTATCCATACATCGTGTCGTGTGGTAGCGGGTAGTCAAAGGTGCGCCTGAACGCACGCAGAAAAGACACCTACGTACATGCACAGCAGTAGTGTCCACACGTTGGGCGCGTTGAAAGTCCAACTGAAAGGACAGCTTGTGGCTGAGTGCACAAGATTGCAAAAGCATTGAGACGCGCTCTCTCGCAGAATTGTAAGTGTTCCATGCTTTCGGTTACGGAACAACAGCAGTGTCGAGAGGCGAACCTTGTACTTCCATCCCACACGTCTCTATTCCGAAGCGCCGCCGTTGTTGACGAATCGACCTACAAAGGACGATACTTACCGGGCACCCACACGCACGCCTCCGGAGTGGCACACGTGGGCATCGGCGGGTGGTCACAACAAACGGCCCTGTGTGTAGTGTACCCCGTATCCACGAACAAGCCCAGCAAACAAAGCAACATCGCCAATTTCATAGCCTTGTGCCATCTGACCATTTTTTGCCTCTGCCTGATTGCAGACAACGAGGGCAGCCCCCGTAAACGTCGGGTCTGCATGTCCTGTCTGCGCCCTAACACACAGACGTTACTTGAACCAACACCCATGGTCCCGCTGTTGTTCACGTCACCAACACTAGTACCCCTTATATCGCCACACAGGGCCACCCTAACGACATTTTTTCAAGGATCAGCGCGCGAAACCACACGCCCGTTCCCCGCGCTGCACGCAGCGGCAGGCTCAGTCTCAGCCGCAGCAACGACGCGTTTGCTTTCGGTCTTACGTTTGGGTGTTCGTTCAAGTATTGTCACCCATTGTTTCCCGTCTGCCTACTCTCGCTTTTCACGGCGCTGAGGTTCAGTACCCAGTGCAAACAAAACGTAGCTGGATGAAGGGATTTAGTGGCAGACCACCGGAATAAGTCGCATGAGAAAGAAAGAAGAGCGCACAAAACAGAGAGACACCCAGAATACAAACTCTTCACGGCGAGATTAGCGCGAGGTGGGCACCGCGTGTCCCTACACAAACGTACCTTCATGCCGCGCTGCTTGCAGACGCGCTCAACGATAGCCTTCGCCTCCGGGATCGCGTTCTCGAACTTGGGCACGAAGATGTTCCCGACCGCGTACTCCCCCTCGGGCGGGAGCTCCCCGATCCCGGCCTCTTGGGCCGCCTTACGCAGGAAGCCGTCCGGCACGGCTACCAGGATGCCCGCGCCGTCCCCCGTGTTCTCCTCGCAGCCGCAGGCCCCCCGGTGGGTCATGCGCACAAGCATCTCGTTCGCGTCGACGACGATCTGCAGAGAGAGACGGGGGAGGAGAAAGAGAGACGGAGCCCGACAGATACACACACAGAGAGAGAAACGGATGCCAGGGTCATTCAATCGTCGCTCCTCGGATGGTTTGTTGACTAGCGCGGTGGACGTTATTCTTGCCGCTCAAGAATATCCACTAGACTCGGAGGCGCCTACATGTGTAGCGCACAAGCGCACAGGCGCTCAAATACGCACACACGCCGACGCGACCAGTTATGTCTCGAGGTCAAAAGGCTATGCAATACCAAATTGAGAAACTGCTGGTTCTTTGGAACACTCGCCGGCACACGAAGCAAGGTCTCACGACCAACGCAGCCTACCCGCCTGATACAGAGATGGATTTTAGCACATCAAGACTACTAAATTTTCTGTTCGAGGGCGGCGGTGCCGCCGGGATTGACCAATGGGTAGGCGCACGCGAACAGCCGTCGTCATTCTCAAGAACTTCGCCGGCTGGTAAAGCGGCGCAAACTTGGATAGGCCTTTACAGGTAAATGACGGATTAGCGGATTAGCCGAACTCCACTTCATACTCTAGTAGTTTCCATTCCCTGTTGGATTCCCCAACGATCAGACAGAGAGCGAGAGTTGCGCCAAAACAAAGACGAAGGGTTTCTTCAGGGCAGGTTGTAACCGCCTGGGCCAACTGCAAGACGTCGTTGTCAGTGGGAGTTGAACAAAACGCGCAACCCGAAAGAAGCCAAAATCAGGACGGGACGCGCGTGAGCACACAAACTTCATCCACAAAGGCGCGGAAGCAACGCGACCGATTCCAAAGGATTTGCTCGTAGAACCGTGTCCGTTCTCATATGGCCTTCAGCTTCGTGACGTTGCCGCCGGCGTTTCGCAATTTCCACGACGGATGAATGTCTGCATAGCCGCGGTCTAAAAATAGGTGTCCTGCACACGGGAATTTTAATACCACTTCTTTGGGCTTGTTAGAACACACCAACACACCAACAACAAGAGCTTTTCTTTTCGAAGTGGAGACGCTGTGCTCCGTACGAAAAAATAACGTTTCGCGGACCCGACGAGGAACTAAACTCAGTGGCGCGGACACGCGGATAGAAATAATCTGCGGTGGTGGAAGTGGAAACACCCCGCCGCCAAAAAGAACAGTTACTACTGTGCTTGAGACACGGTAAATACTATTCGACAACAACAAAGTTCGTTCGTTCGTACTTGGGTGTATTTACGTACGGGAAGTACCATGGCACTTCTCTCGCGTTTCCCGTGTGTTCGATGCGACGTGTGCTACTGCTGTTGGAGGGTTGTACTGCTGTAGCGTTGTACGTCAATTGTTGTCGACATCTTGAGACGAAACTGCTGCATGGTAAAAAACACGACATGCATAGCCAAAGGTCAGGGGGTCGACGATGGTCGATTACCTCCTCATCAAAAGTGACGCTAATTTACTTCCTTTTGCCGCGCAGGAGGTGGATGGTTGAGTGGGGAAGAAACTACTGTTGGATCTCCATCCCACAGCATTCTGCGGGATCGCGTGCTGCTGTGTCTGCGCGGGTTCCCGTGCCTACACTACAAACACGGTGTTTTCAGAGTCCTGCGACAAGCTTGCTCTTTGTCCGCTGCTGCCTGTGAAGATATGCATACGATTCTGGGTGCTATCCAATGAATATTGTGGCGTCGCAACAAGCGAGAGAGGGCTCTCGATTGCTTCTCATCGACGAGGTATGGCCCGCAGCACACGAAAAGGAAAGGAGAGGGTGTCTACATACACACAGGGTTCTGCCGCCTGCAGTTGCAGTACACGAGAGAAGGTTCAGTCAGGCTCATTTGCGGCTGGAGGAGCGAAAAATAACTCTGCTGACGCAACATGTGTGCGACTCACCGCACCCTGGAATTGATGGGTTCCATGTAAAATTTGCCGTGTTGCTGCACGCCGATAAAATAACACCACTTTCCTCCGGGACCTAATGACGGAGTTGTGCCGCGTACCAGAAGCTCTCGTCAGCAGCTTTCGTGCTGAAAACACGCTTGTCCCTGGGCCCCTTGAGTGCTTGGGTCCCAAACAGAACGCCAGATCGAGCGACAAAAAAAAAACTTACACGCAATGCACCTAGATACCTGTCGAGACGCAACGCTCTTCATCTGCACGGCCAGGCCCACGCCGCAGGAGTCCTTCTCCAGCGCCGGGTCGTACAGGCCCACGCGCTTGGCGGGCAGCGTCCGCGGCCCCGCAAGGGGTCTGCCGCCCCTTCGATTTGGCAGCCTCGCGGCCCTCGCCGCTTCGTCCTCCGCCTTGGCCTTGGCCGCCCGCGAGGATTGTCGAGACGCCAGAAGCACAGTGCTCCTGCTCTTGCTGCTGCCCGGCAGCGGCCGGCGCACGCCGCCGCCGCCCATCGCTGCCAGATTACGTAACATGGTCGTGGCTTATCTGAGAGAGGAAGAGGGAGAGAGAGAGAGACGGATGTGTGAGGTGTTGTGGGGTAAAAAATTTCACAGGTAAAACAAGGGTTGGTTGAAGGTCCGTACAGTCCGGACGTACATGCGTGTGTCAGGTTCGTCAGCAGCAGCGGCAGCACCCGACACATTTTTTCGATTGTGTCGAGAGAGAGGGAGGGCCAGAGATGTGGGAGGCGGAAGGAGAGAGGGAGACGACTGCCGGTGTCCTTTAGACCAGGTCTAAGAGGTGGGCGATGGGGCGAGAGGTTGCATCCTCTCAGGCTGCCAAGCAAAAGCATCCAGCTCTTCTCACGGCAAAATATCTACCCTCTCGGAGACGATACCTTTGCGAGGGGGGATGAGTCCAACATCTACGATAAAACATTTGTCCGTGCGGCGGCGGCGGGGTGGCGCTGGCCTCCTTTCTAGTGACATCAGTGGTACAGGATAAATAGAGTCAGGTCGTTTGACTCATCATGGCTCGGACAGAGGGCCCAAATCAGCCTCGCGCATTTAGCTTTGTGAGCGACGGTACTGCTAGGCGCCAACAACCCTTTTTTTTTGGAGTGGTCACACGATATCTCCACCGCAGCAGCGTCACCAGACGCACACACCTTGTATTCCGCGCTCTTCCCCAGCCCCTAGCTCTCTGGAGGGTCAAGCCGCCGTTCAGTGCTTCACCCCGTTGTGTTTTGATATCCGTGTCTAATGCTTGTACAACAATGGTGTCTGCGCGGTATGTGTTATAGGGCGAATGGGGACGGCAGTGCTCTCTCCTCCCACGCAAATGCAACACAAAGACGGAAATGCTTCTTCTCACAAAGAGATGGAAAAACGTCAAAAATTGTTGTTGTTGCTGTTGGTGTTTTCTTCTTAATGACCGACGATATCTATCTGACGACGCCAAGACTCATGTATTTACTTGCCACATACATGCCCTGCATCAATGCCACCGTGCCGCCCGTCCGTTCATATCTTCGTGCTCATAATAAGTACTGCTGTAGTATGTGCTTCGTCACGCAACGCAAAGACAGATGCTAATTGCAGCACCGCCGTTGCTATGCATTGTCTCAAGTTCCAAATGCTCTCAAATATACGAAGGATAGGGAGCGAGTGCACGATGATTGGTACAACAAGCAGTAAATAGGTGTTGGGCCATACGCAGCAGCACGCACGGTGGTGGTTGTAGTACGCCGGGGTCCTGGATGCAACAACATTGCAATGCAACATTGATGAAGTAATTACAAAATCTTGTAGTGTGTAATGTTTCGGACAAAGAAAGAGTAGAGAAAAACATTTTCGAGGTCAAGTGCTCTGTGCTGCGGTCTGATCACGTCACAATTGTCACTACCGTCGAAGACATGCCACCAATAAGAGCGTAGTCGGACGCATGCGAATACGTTCTCCCTTGAAAAAACAACGAACTGCTGTTCCTCGGCAGATGATATGGTTTACATGACATGCTACCAACGCCGAGGTCGGGCAGTGGATATGCTGTGCATCTGCCACCCTGCTGTGAAAAAAAATACCAACTGTAGTCTTTTTTAGTGTTGATGGGTTGCGTTTGGGTTCAGTTTTGGGAACATACCGTGAGGTTAAGAGTCAGCGCACAGGGGGTGTTCCGCGGTAAAGACGAATAGTTTCCACGAGTTTTTCAATGAGCAGCAAGAAATGGTTCCCAACCTCTGAAAATTTGGACCAACGTCCGTTAGGTCACGAGGATCACGAAAACATACTTATTTTCCCATTTGGATGTCGTGGTGATGACTTATTGATGAATTATTAGTGGCCAAAATTGGGTGAAAATCCCGTCTGCGGGCCCCCCGAGCAAGTTGCAAACGCCTCCGAAACGCATAAATTTTCAGGTTCAAGTGGTAGTTTTTCCTGGACCCGCCCACAGGACACTTGATACATTTCTCTACAGGGCCTGGTTGTTTACCCAACAAAATATACACCATTCGAAAGCTATGAACCAGGGCTTTCGAATGAACCCACTTTTAGCTTTCACAGATTCCTCGGTGACGAGTTATGCCGAATATACCGTTTCATCAAAAACGCGGCGGAACCGGTAAATTACGATTTGTCGTGCCCCCACCACCGCTGTGAAAAAAAATATGTATATATATTTNAAGCTATGAACCAGGGCTTTCGAATGAACCCACTTTTAGCTTTCACAGATTCCTCGGTGACGAGTTATGCCGAATATACCGTTTCATCAAAAACGCGGCGGAACCGGTAAATTACGATTTGTCGTGCCCCCACCACCGCTGTGAAAAAAAATATGTATATATATTTTTTTTTTTCGGAATCCTTGAAACAAACTGGTTCTAAATCACCTGGTTCAGAACTCTTTTTTGCCAGGCCCTGGACAGAAATAAACCAAGTTTCAAATTTCAAAAAAATCGCGGCCGAACCACCGCTTGGGCCGCGTCGCACACAGCCGCCGGTAGGTGTACACATGTTGTTGTCAAGACCGGCAACCAAATGGAACTCGACCAAGAGAGGGTCTCCTGCCTGCAGCAGTTGGTTCCCGACGGATACACGCTGCGCGACAAGCTCAGCATCGAGAGACAGAAGCCACGAAAGTATCGGTTAGTGCTGCACCCGCGACTACATGGCGGTATGGATTCCGATGGGCAAGGATGAAGCGATCGTCTGGGGTGTTGACGTCGAGACGGTGGAGGAGACCGAGCGCTTGCCGGATGGTGGTGTCTGGGTTTGTGTCGATGATCTCGAGTCTGCGCTGGCAGACTTGCCCAAAGACCTGCAAGCCAGAGTGCAGAGCAAGAAAACCCACCCTGACGGGAGGCGGGCCATGCTTCTCTACCAGGACGAGAGCATATTTCGAGGTTAGTTTTAAACGGAGCAAAGCGGGTTCGATAATTTAGGTGTAACTTCCGGGCGCGAGCAGTAATCTTGCTCGCAATTCAATTGTGGGACTTTAAATTTAATCACACATGTTGACAGCGCCACATCTGCCGCCCCTAAATTGTCGGTTNTTTTTTCCGTGTTTCTGGTGGGAATGTTGTACAAAAATGGAACATTTTTGTTGAAAACGGCCAATTTTTGTGATGTATGTACGCTATAGGTGCGGTAGAGGCATTTGCATAGTGTTTGAGGGCGTTCCTGTGCACGTGTGGGTGGTTTGGTGCGAAAAAAAAAAAGGATTAGCAACATATATGGGGGAAAAGTTGCTCTAGGGCCAATTTCGTGGGTTCGAGACCCGCCGCGAGCATCGTTTTTTCTTTTTTTTTTTCACTTTTTTCCTTTTTTTTTTTGGCGACTCGCTACTCTTTCGCGCCTTGCCGCGGGCGTTCCGAAGCTGTTTTTCTTTTTCTTTTACTCGCTCCCAGTCAAAAGTTATGGAGGGACAACCAAAATCGGGTCCTTGAAAATTACCACTGAAGGCTAATGTTGTGTTGTACATCAAGAATCCGTCGTCAGAATTTCGATCAGGATCGATGCGGCCGTGATACAGCTACGCACTGATATATATGCGCGAAAGCAGGGATAACCTGGAATTACTAGGAATTACACTGAAATATTCCCCCTCCCGCAACACTTTCTACATGTTGATTCAATCTCCCCTGACTTCGAATCAGGGTAATTTTGGGGTGGGGATCACAAATTTATTGTTGGAATGTCCCAGTTTTGATTTGCAATGGACTTTCAGCTGCTCAAAAGCTGACAGTAGCTGAGCAATTTCAAAATTCCTGGGATTTTGGATTCACGGTTCCCACGTCGAGTTTTTGTCTGATCAACTTTCTAAGTGGCTCTACCCAATCTAAATCGGCCAAGCGGCATCGATTGCCGAGGAGAAATGGAGGCGCCGAAATCGGCAACGCGGTGAAAAAAAACAATTAAGGCGATCCGATCACATTTTTTTTGTTTCTCTTTTTTTTATGCTTTTAGTCCATTTGTTACGATGTCTTTCTTTAGGCTTTTTTTACGGTATCTTTTTTTCAAAAATGACAACTGGCCAAATAGCCCCGTGTTACAACGTCTTTTCTTGCAAAAATATGACAACGAACCTTATTTGACAGCCTATAACACGGGGCTATTTGGCCAGTTGTCATTGTTTGAAGAAAAAACAGCCTAAAAAAAGCCTAAAAAAAGACATCGTAACAAATGCTTAAACGTCGTTTTAGACATGTATCCAAAAACGGTTTTTCATTCGAGTTTTTCCTCGCCGCGGGAGAGACAGTTCGTCTTTACCGCGGAACACCCCAGAGGTGCGATCGATGTTCAAAGCGTATTTTCTCCACAACCAGGCGGGTGCGAGCGCCAACTGATACATCTCAGGAAAGCTCTCGATGATATGTTCCCAAAAACCGCCATTTTCGACAGTGGTAACCTCCTGGTTGTGGAGAAATTACGCGTTGAAAATCGTTCGCACCCCTGTGGGCTGTCACGCAATCTTACGGTACCATCCACGGCTCTAGGAAGAAGGCATCCAAACACAGAAAGACTCGTTCGAGATGTAACCTCAGTCGACAGCTCGTGCGCGACCAACCTGTTCGTGTGACATGCCATGCTTCAACTATGCACACAATGCAAATGATGATGGAGGTTGTGAGGCAACCACGACGCACACAAGATATTCTTGCTGTCTACCCAATCAGCACACCACCGAGGCCGTTCGTTCGTTTGTTCGGTTGGTTGACCACACGACTGGCTTGCATAGACAGGTGGAATGTTAATGTTTCTGAGACAGATGTTAGTGGAGAGCAACATGATCCGAATTAAACTTTAAAAACTTTGTGCCAAAGATGCGCCCCGTCACACAGACCACACCGCCGTTCGTTTCGGGGCCAAAAAGGAGGGACCTTCCTCGCAGACATCACTCCGACGGCACAACCACACAAGCACACCTGCTGTGGCAACATCCGTCACCCATCCATGTAGTTGGATGCACCCACAGGCGGCAACAGCTCTCGTTTCATTGCCGACGCGCGATGGACATCTTTGTTTTCAACGACACGCGGGTGCCATTCTTCTACTACGGCTGCTGCTACACCGGCTCGCCATCGCGACAAACAACCGTCAAGTGTGGAACAGTTTCCAGTCATCTTCGCAGCACCAGCGCCAAAAATTGCCACACACACGGGCACCCCCCCCCACCCAAGAACCATAATCCAATAGAAGTAGTTCACCAACTCACGGTTACAAAGAACACATCATCGGCACGCAAACTGCAAGAGCTAAGCTCGCTGCCGAACAGGCAAGCTTCGCCGAAGCATTCATGACCAACCACCGAGCGACTTCCGGCACGTGCATCTACGACATGCTGCTCTAGGCAGGACCGCACGAGGCACTTGGAAGTGAGCTACCATTCAACAAACCATTACTTACCACCTTTCCAAGCTACCCATGCCCCATCATGGCGTAGTATCATTTCAGCTCGGCCACAACAACAACAAAGGAAAACACAGCAGTCCGTGCGCTTCTTCTGCGGAAAAAATTCACTTGGAACAAGATCATACAGCCACATGAGGGTCTATCAGCGCTTCCGCGGGTAATCTCCTAGTTCCCAACAACGTAAAGTCGCCCCGACCACCCCGCCGCCTGCCACTCCCGACAGCCTCAGGCGCAGCCTCCGCCGCATTCTGAGCCATCATGGCGGCGCCCAAACAGCCGGCCAGGGCCCGGCGAATCTCCGACACTTGCTCCACACCGCTCCCACCACCGCTGCAAAACCCGTACGGCGCGGGCGCAGTAGCCAAGGTGCCGCCACCACAGCCAGGACCCCCTCTGGAACGGTTCCACACCCCGCGCACGCTCCCCACGCGGTGCTCGCTCGCCACTAGGGCCTGCAGCTTGGCCAGCAGGGCGTGCACCTGCGCCACGGTCACACCAGCGGATGCTTCTTCTCCCTTGTCAGCGCCCGCTGCCGACCCCCCCGCAGCAGCAGCAGCAGCAGCAGCAGCAGCAGCAGCAGCGTCAGTCGCCGCTATGAGCGCGGGGACGGACAGCCTTAGCAGGTGGGCCCACGTCCTGGGCGGTGGCGTCGGGGTCGAAAGGGCCTCGCTACCTCCGGCGACCGTGGCATCGCCGTCGCAGCTGCCACGGGGGGCAAGCATGTCCACCGCGAGGGCGCCGGCCAGGCGGGCCCCGGGACCCGCCGCGGCCGGCGAGCTACTCCCGATGCCCGAGGCATGCGGGGGTGGTGGTTGCGCCACCGCCTCGGCCGAGAGAAGCTCCGCGATTTCTTTGTAGCGTCCCAGGAAAGAAAGCTCCGGCCCGTTCACGCCCGGAGGGACCGCGGCGAGAACGCCGTCCGCTTCAGCGAGAACGACCTGCTGAGCCTGCTGGTCCGGAAAGGGATCAAGAGCAGCGGCGAAAATCGCAGTCGCAGGGGATAGAAGACACAGAGACAGCAGTAGCTTAGGCTTATGTGCGTTGCGTTTATCTGCTAAAAACACTAGTTTGATGTTGCGAAGAAAACCGAGGAGAGGAGCGTGGGGGAAGCGAATACAAAACAGCAGTAGTTTTTCAGGCAAAGGCTAGAGTGCGTTGCGTTCATCTGAAAAAACAAGTAGCTTGTAGTTGCGAAGAAAACCATGGAGGGGAGCGTCTTGGAGAATTGCGGCGCGCACGAAATATAGGGAGAACCGTTGGTGATGGTGAGGGACACACGATGTCGTTATGGAGGTACCAAAGATACAACACTTTCCGACGGTCCGGGTGAGCACGCTCAGCGGTTGCGTGTGACACGTCCCATGAGGCACGCGCATCCGTCGACACCTAATTCTCGATATATCTGCAGAATCTAGGCTCATATTTGTGGATTTGGGGATGAAAGGCCATTCGTTCATGCCACGAAACAATTGTAGACATCGGTAGAGGCAGCCACTGCTTCAAGAACACAACACCGATACAATATCAATAGATGCGCACATGGTTCCATCAAAAATTGAAGTGCAGCATGAGCACCGATGTTTGCGAAGCTTGGACACGCCAGGTCCGAGTGCTGGCGATCCACATTCAAGCCAGTTCCCGCCATGACTCCCCTCGCTTGTGCCTCTCTTGCAACACAAAGAACGCACTCTCCAAACGTAAATTACCTCTCGAGCTACCCGTCAACTTCTTACTCCCATTGGTTCAAAATGCGTGCCCCCACCTGAACGTCGGCAGCGCTGCCGACCCCCGAAGCGACCTCCACCATCAGCCGCTCCGAAACCTCCGCGCAGAGCCTCTCGAGCTGGACCCACCCGCCGCTCTTCGCCAGCCAGTACGCCGCCTTCCCGCACGCCCCGGGTACGTGTGCGCTGTCGCTGCTCGTTTCCCCCTCCGCCGCCGCCGCGGCCGTGCCCATCGCCACCGCCGACAACCCTGTCTTTCCTATCCACGTGGCCCCCCTCGCGCGGCACACGGCCGCCTCCACCTCCTCCCCCAGGCCTCGAGCGCGGCACCACTCCACGACCTCGTGGGTCGCTCTCTCCGACTGCGGCACGACCCCGAGCACGAGCTCTCGGAGCAGCCCGGCCTCGTCATCGTCGTCGCCGCCGCCGCCGCCGCCGTCGCGGCCGCTCCCTCCGCTTAGGTACGTCGCCGCGAGCTCCCAGCCGCCGCAGGGGGAGGCCCTGAGGCGTTCGGCGAGCCGCCGGAAGAACCACAAGCGCTGCTGGTACGTGACCGCCGTGAGCTTGGCCCTCGATAGCACGTCGACCAGGTGGGTGGCGCAGACGGAGAGCGCGAGCGTGTCTCCGTGGTCGCGGGCGAACTTGAGGATCGAGTCCACGGCGCCGGCTGAGGCGTCCCTGATTACCTGGCGACGCGCAACGCGCAAGAGGGTAGGGCAGCCGTGGACGGGACATTAATAACAAATTTAGATCTGTGAAGCACACCGAATACACCAGCGCTTAGATTGTTTGTGTGTATACTCGGCAGGATACAGATCTCCGAGGTCTCCGAGGGGGTTACGCAGATGTGATAGACGTCAATACAAGGAACTTCAGTCACCTTTTGTGCAAAACGCTCTCGACAGGGGCCCGCGAGCGTCACAACGCAGTACACACGCCCACACCCTAAACATGGGTATACGCAGAACTCGTGGCTTCGGGAAAAACGGTATCGCAGAGCACTCCCGAACAACAAGCACCGCCGTTTCACTGTTGCGGTTGACTTCATGAGACCAAGGAGAGGGGATGGTCACACGACTGATTCGGAGAAAATCTGTGGACTCATCGAAGGTCTGCCGATCCACTGCACTGCAGGACAAAAGTGAAATTCCAACAACATACAAATAGACTTGAGGATGGGTGCCACTATTCGAAACTCTCTGTTGCACCACTCCCGTGAGGGTTGGTGTAACGTCTGTCCCACCCGGAAGAAAAAACGGCTCATGGTCCGACAATGCACATCAGTCTGCACCAAGCGAAACCTTCCCCTGTCCCCGCCACACCCTGATTCTGAAAATCGGAGGGCCACAACGAGCTCGATGTGTAACGTAAAACTTGTGCTAACAAAAATCTCCTGTACATGAGTCAGTTGGACAAGTACGGGCATTAGAAGGTGCTGTGAGCGGAGACCGGTGTGAAGACAACAACGACACAAGGACACAGGTACCCTCTCGCCTCCCGGCCCACCTTTGTCAGAAACGCTTCCTCCTGGTGTTCGCTGTACACCCTCGTACACTCCCTCATCACCGACGCCACCTCCTCCTTCCGCGTGTCCGGCCTCTCGTACGCCAAGACGGCGGCGAAAAAACCCGACCACGTGTTCGTGGCTTCGACCAAGCAGCCCCTCTCGCCGCACAGCGCACCCCACAGCCAGCGCAGCTGCCGCCTCTCGGGGCCGACGTCCCCTCCTGCACGGTCGTCACCAACACCCACCACAACACCAAACCTCCCCGCCGCCGCCTTGCAGCCCTTCTGCCAGCGCGTCCACGTCTCGAAGAAACCCTCCCGGTCCAGGTGTGCCTCGGCTCCGCGGTCGTCAACGCCGTCGTCACCGGCGCCGCCCCCGCCCTCGCGAAGCAGCAACGGCATCTTCTCCAGCTGGCGGGCCAGGGCGCCGACCTCGCTCGCGTTGTCGCGGCCCTCCGGGTGGCTCCGCAGCAAGTCCGCCGCCCGCCTCGGCGCCACGCCCACCACGAGTGAGCGGAGAGCGTCCCAATAGGCCGGGTTCGGGTCGGCCGAGCCCCCGGCGGCGGCGGCCTCAAGTGCCACCCGCTCGGTCTCGTCCAACTCCGATCGCGCCGCCTCGTCCTCGCCCGACAGGCTGTACATCTTGAGCCAGCGGAGCAAGGGCGCTGCCGGCAGCGGGACGGAGTCGAGCAGGAAGGCCTCCGCGAGGGTCCAGACGTGGTAGAAGTCTGTCAGCCCGTCGTGGAAGACGTCCTCGTCTCGACGGTCAGCCTCGGTAGGCGCGGCGGATGCGACGTCCGAGTTTGAGTTGATGTGCGTGAGGCACCAGAAGATCACGCCGCGGTGCTCGAGGGATTCGGACACGAGGTCCTCGGTATCGCCCGACTGCGCCCGTTCGCTCTGTTCCACGAACATTCGATGGAAGGCCAGGACCAGATGCCGTGCGGCCCAGCCCTGGTAACCCAGCTCGGCAGCACCAGCAGCCGCATTCCCCTTGCTGCTGCTGTTGGCAACGATCGAGCCGATGTCTTGTTCCGCGCCAGAAACATCCATGTCAGACACTGGCGTTACGTGCTGCATGGTGTGTGTAGATGCAGCGCTAACAGACCACCAGTACACACTACGCCTGAAGACCGACAATGCAGCCTTGTTCCTCCCTTTCCCTCCACCCTCAGCTAACCCTGCGTGTGAGCACAGCAAGGTTTGGGTTTGCGCCTGTGCTGCTGTGTGTGGCTTTGTTGCGTTGTTGTGTGCTTGGCGGTCTCCTCGCCTACACCCCTCTATGTGTTATCCGCGGAGCCCCCAATAACGCCAACTGTTTTTTGAAATTTAAAAATGAAACCACTACAGTTGTGAATATGTGGAACATTGCTGATTGAACAATATGGGCCGAGATCGTGGCGCCAAATAAGCAACCTGTGGCGTGTCTACGGACTTGTTATGAGGTAGATATGTGCAAGTAGAGCGCAGTTATAGCCTGCCGCAAATTCAAGTATTACGGAGTGCACGAGCGACGAATCGGTGTGTGGCGAAATGTTGGCCAGTATGTTCGACGTCAACATTCGAATCTCGAGCTCGATGGAGCAGATCGTCTCGCCGTGCAACCTCGCGAGAGCGATCGGTGTCGCGCCTGGGGCCAAACTCCTCCTTCGTCGCGACACAGCAAGAGCAGAACAGTCAGGAATGGTTGTACGTTGTGACAGGCCGACGGCGTCTCTTCTTTGGCGCCGGTTTAGTAAACCCCGTCCGTACACCCATGAGGGCCAGCTCACTTCGCTTCAAGTGGTTGGCATGAAACCGGTTGTGGATCGCGGAGACGATGGTGGAGCTGTTCTGAGGCCAGCCGAAGGGGGCCCAAAGTTCCCGCGGTTTATGGGGTTGGCGATAGCCCCTCCACCATCAAGTTCGCCTGTGGCTGCAGTCGAAGCCGCTCTCGAGGTGATCGAGAGGGCCGAGACCGACGGGCTTCATGTTCCCGGCGTCGCCGAACTCTACGAAGAATTTTCTGCCGGGCGGCGGCTGTCCGCCACCGGCAGACGCAAAGGCGCGGGGACAAGAAGAAGAGGAAGCAAGGAGCCTTACAACAAAGAAGAAAAGAATCGTGAGCAGGAAGAAAAGAACGACAGTGGAGAGTCTGCAACATCATCTGAAGAGGCAAAACAAGACGCTTCGTCTTCCTCGGAAGGCTCCTGTAGCTCGGCGGCGGAAAACGGACGCTGGCACAAACCAGTTACCTGGAGACAGCACCGGCGGCCGGCGGGACGGCAAAACAAGCACTGGCGGGATAGAAAGACCGGGGAGGAGGAATGCAGGAAATCAACGTGAGTGATGTCCCAAAGTCTTGGTATCTGCTGCTTGGGGGGTAACTTTGGGGGTATGCTTTTGTACACACACGACCAGAACCACAGTGTCCTGCAACATACTTCGGGACGGACCAGCATTGGTCTACGTGCACCTCAAGTTCTGCACTGCCGCCGTGGCACCCCTTGCGAACAATTCAGTGTGCAGCTTCAGTGGAGGCGAAATGTTGTCGCTGCACATCAACGACGGTGGCATCATCGCCGCGTCAGATCAGCTTCCGTGGAAGACGTGACCTTAGCCTTCGACCGGATCAGCAACCAGTACGCCAACGCACCGAGACAGAGTGGGCGCGCCGAAGTAGTCTCACTGCTCTCGAGAGTATACGCGGATGGGGCGTTCGCCAGCAACCGACAAAGAGAAAATGAGACCGTGAGTATGGCATATCGTTCAGTTTTGAGGCACTCGACCATTGGGGGGTCTGTGTGTTCGTGGGAACGGCGAAGGTGGTGCAGGTATGGAATAAAACTACACTGCTGCTTTGGCTTGAGGCCGCCATGGGATCATACAATCAAACCGGGGAAAGGGCGCGTGACTTTTTATCCTGTGCGCTTGTGAATGGCGATGTGGGGTAGTTCCTCGATACGCCCATAAGTACCAAATAACGGTCAGCGTGTATCAGCTGCTGGCCTCTGTTTAGCGTCACCGCATTTGCTTGGTCGACGGATGATGATGATCGTCATTCGGCATATTCGACCTGACCCAAGTAACCCGAGCCCCTCGACCACACCCGCAGCTTGATCATCTTGGCGTGGCACGGTGGCATGCCAGGGTCGGCCCACCAGTCCCCTTACAAACGACAACGGCGGCGGAGAGTTCGTCGCCGCCGATGCTCCCTCAGCAGAAGCATGAATCGCGGCGAATCGCTTCTTGGAGCAGGTGGTTTCGACTTCTGAGGCGGGTGGTGGGTCTCGTCCGAGGCATCATAGACTTCGGAGTTTTCATTCAAATGTATGCCACGGCTTTGGATGGGGGGAGATTGTCACAGTCATTGAGAATAAAATGCGATAATAATGGGAGGATGGTAAAGGGGGATAGCATCAACAGCAAGGGCCGAAGTGCGAGATACGTCGGAGCGCGACGAGATAGAGGAGGGAGAGAAGCGTCTCGACTCGACAAGGGATTCAGAGAAGAGGAAGAACGAGGTTTGAGGAATGTAGAAAGTTGTAATTGCCAACATACTGGTACGACCGACAACCCAGCTGCTGTTGCTCCTGATGCTGACAGTGTTCACCCCCAACACGACAGCGGTCATCCTCTGCCGTGGCTCTTCCCTGAGAGCGACAAGGAAGGCGGCGCCAGGCGAGCGTTCAATATCCACTCCGTTTGCGGCGGCGAAATTCACGGCTTGATAACGCTTGAGTCGGCGGCGGCCATCGTTCGCGACGCCGGGAAAGTCTTCCCCATGAAGCGAGCCTGGCGTTGGCGCTACGAAAAGGCCGTCAGACACGTTGTCGACCAAGGCCACGCGGCAGCTGGAAATTCGATGCCAGCAGGAGCAGGGTGTCTCCTAGGATTCCAAGAATTCTTGGAAATGTGTGAAGGGCTCAAGGACCACATGATGGATGTTTCCTTCATGGGCCAAGAAGACTGCTGCTCTTCCAGCCACCATAGCTAGCATGCCCGAGGCGTAACGTCGAAGAAACGTCTATGCTACATATGTAGAAATGCTCTTCATTGGCCGGTGAATATATATGGCCCAGAAAAAAATGTCCAGAACTCACATCAGCAGGTGGGAACTCTACGCACTGCTGTCGTTGTGGATTCTACAGCGTTGTGTGTTGGGGGGGGGTTGGCACGCCTCACACAATGGACGGGAAATACGAACATAGCTTCATGGAGGCGATGCCTTCCGTATGCCTCAGGGCGCGCCTCCCGATTCAAGCGCAGTACCAAACCCCAGAAAATGGCGGTTTCCTTCTCTCTGTCCACGTATTGTTGGAACAGAAAACGGCAATCTTTCCAGCGAGAATTCACGCAAACAAAACAGCACACACAAGGAGCGCACTCCAACGTCTACACGCATCTTGCTTACAGATATTTTCCAACCACCGAAAATCTGAGCCTCAACCTCGATGAGTTCGCTGTCGGGAAGCCCATACACTGCCAAGGCGGTCCCACGGTGCCCCGCAAAAACAAGCATTTACAAACAGCAGCTCCTCTCAAGCCAGCGACGACGCGACATCTGAGAATGACCCAGCGCCAACCAGTTGCCCGAAGATGTCCCAAAAACAACCTACAAGCTACGGCAACACGAGGCGAGAGACGTATTCACGGGATACACGAAAAAATTACAAGGGTGACTCGACGCTACCTCAGCTCCGCAAGCACCGGGGCCCCGCGAGTCACCATGAAACCTCCTACTACGAAAGTGCCTATCACACGTCGATGCCACACCAATACGACTCTAAATATCACGCACGACAACCGCCAGCAGTACACGGCACATGCCGCCAAATGCAGTTCTGCCTACACGTCAAATCTTAATCTTACCCACAATTTAAGCCAGCGGTACAAACTACACCAAATCAACACATAGTAGATCGCTCGGCCACAAACACGATCCTCTCCGTCCCCGCCCCCACCCTCTGCACGCGGCGCCCCCGTCAAAGCCCGCCCTTGTCAAAGCCGGCCTTGACGTGGATGCGCTCTATGTCCGACTGGAACTGGATGGGGATCATCCAGCCGCCCATGTCGTCCTCCACGGGCCTGGGGATCTGCAGCATCCCCTGCCCGTCTATGGCGTCGTCTCGGAAGCGGCCCTCGTAGGAGGCGCCGTTCGCGAACGCCAGCGTGCCGCGCCCCTCCTTCTTCCCGCCGCGGAAGACCCCCTCGTACCGCTGGCCGTCCGGGTGGATGCACATGCCGCGGCCCTCCGCGAGGTCGTTCGCCCACTGCCCGTCGTACACGAAGCCGTCGTCGGTCCGGAAGACGCCGCGCCCGTGCTTGGCGTCGTCCAGCCACTCCCCGTCGTAGCTGCCGCCGGGCCAGATCAGCAAGCCCCGGCCGCTGCGCGCATTGTCCTTGAACTCGCCGTCATAAAACATCGTGCCGAACGCGAACGGGCCCGCGGAGACAGCGGCGTCGCCGCTCTTGACGGCGGCGTTCGCCGCTGCCGCCGCCGCCGCCGACGCAGCGACAGCGGTCGCGGTCATCGAGGCCGGGCACACGGGGAACGTGTAGACCCCGCGCCCGTGCATGGCGCTGTCCTTCCACTCGCCGTCGTACACCGCGCCGGTCCCGTCGGTATACCGCCCCTTGCCGCAGAACTTCCCGTCCGCGAAGTCCCCCTCGTAGATCACCTCCCGGTCGGGCCCCAGGATCTTGCCCACACCGTGCTCCTTGCCCGCCCGCCAGTCCCCCTCATACATCCGCTTGTTGGCGTACACACAGAGCCCCTTGCCGTGCCGCCGGCCGCGATACCACCCGCCCTCGTAGTACTCGCCCGTCTCTCGGTCTAGCGTGAGCTCCTCCCACCGCTCCGCCGAGTGGCGTCTCGAGCGCCCCGGGGTGCGCCCTGCTCGGCCGCCCGAACCGCCGCTAGCCCCGCCGTTCCCCGAGCCACTGTTTTCCGCCGATGCCTTCTCCACGGCTTGGGTCCCCGCAGCCGTCGCTTCTGCCGCGGCCGTCGCCGCCGCCGCCGCCTCCGCCTCCAGGTTGGCTTGTTCCAGCTCCATGTGCGCGAATGCCTCCTGCGTGTTTGAAAGAAACGCATTTCGAACCGAAAGGAGCAAAGGGGATCGGGAGGTTCCGGTTTACTGATATGCTGGCTGCCATTAGGGGACAGAGCGGATGCCAGTCGTTATGACCGGCACCTTGAAGGGGAACAAGTTGTCAGTGATTGGCACACGCTTGAATGAAATCGAAGCCACCATTGCTGATCTGTCGCTGTCGTACGCGTATAAGGCTGGCATGTGGAAATCCATCGGAATGACAGCTCCACCAGGCGGCTCAACTACACGACCAAGCCATAGCCTTGCTAGAGAAGGCCCCAATAATACCACGTCCTACCAAGAGAACATCATGCACAGCATGCAGCTCGCGGGGGTCGGAGCACACGGACCAAACATCTGATCGGTCAATAAGAAACTCTTCCGGTGGGTTTAGAACAAGAGAACTTGGAGCCTCACGCAATGCCGATGAAAACCGCGAGCGACCACGACTTTAATCCGGCGGATCAAGCCTTCTGGAGCTCGCTGGCCACGTAAACAAACAAACCAACCAAGCAACGAGGGAGCGCTCGTGCTTATTCCCCGAAAGTGCGACAACACTGGAATGTATTCATAACACTGTCGGCAGCACTTGGCAACTGGTGCATGCCCACGAAATTGTATCGACCCAAACCAGTAGCTAAAATCCCATACCCGGGAAAACTTGTACCGCCGGCAGAACATGCCGAGCGGCCGCATGGCACCAATCACCGACAACATTTCTCTCACCTTCTCTACCGGATCATCGCTAGCGTTGCCGATCACAGCCAGCACCTCTCGCCCGGCCTGGGCCCTCGCCGCGAGTTCCGCTGCCACCCTCTCCGGGGGCACCACGGCTTCACTGCTTGCGGCAGCCGCGCTCGTCTTCCCAGCCGCCGCCGCCGCGTCTTCGGCCTTCCTCTTCTCCCGCCGCCTCTGCTCCATGTACAGGTCGCGCTCTCGGTCCCGAGGCTTGCGCGACTTGGGGGTGGATGCTCCAGTGGACAGGGTGTCAGCTGCCCCGGAACCGCTCCCGCTTACTGATATCGACAAGCTGGTGACATCGGCGCTTGAGCTCTTTCGTCTGCTTGACCCAGAACCCCCGCCGCCGCCGCCGCCGCTGCCGCCGCTGGTCCCAGCCGATTCGGACTGCTGACCACCGTGCGAATTTTGCTCTTCGTCCACAAGGCGCTGGTTCGGGCATCGGGTGCGCTTCGTCCTGCGCTCGGCGAGGGACGGACCGGGCGGCTGGGGTGGCGGGGCCCCCGGCGGCGGCGGCCGTCTCTTCTTCTGGTGCGAAACGCCTCTGCTTGATCTCTCTCCGCGGGTGGAGGCCACCGTGGATCTCTCCTTGGGCTTCTCGAAGTAGAAGCGGGTCAGGTCAAGCCGCCCCGTGGCCCGTTCGTGACCGCCAGTCAGGGTGAACTCGCCGTACTTGTTTTGCCCCCGGCCGCTCACTCGAACCACGGGGGCGATCTGAACCTGCACCGGTGGGGGTGCCGAGCCTTGAATCACCGGCGGCACCACAGCAGCAGCACTAGCAGTAGTAGCAGCAGCAGTGGGTGAAGGTGCCACCGTAGGAGGTGGTTGTGCTGTTGAGGCCGGGTCTACCTGGGGTGGTGCAGGTGGTACTGTGGCTGCTGCTCCTACCGGAGCGGCCTGATTCCCGCCGACCTCCACCGCTCTACTTGCTACGTCCGGCGCTCCGGCCGTAGCAGCTACAGCTTGGGCCGAAAGCTGCTGAGTGTTGGCGCCGACGGGAGTTGCCGCAGCAGTGCTAACTGCACTTGTGGCATTAGCCCCCGCGGTGGCTGCCGCTACGACTGGTGCCGCCGCCGCCGGTGGCGGAGTAAGACTTCGAGGGGACCTGGAGCCGAAATCGAGGACGAAAGTCTCTTCCACCTTGACCTCGACGCCTCGGCCGTAGTTGACGATGAAGTAACCCGCCCATTTGCCCGAGGGTAGCCTGCCGTCCCCGTCGGGACCGTACAGCAGCAGCGGTGATGATGTTTGCGGCTCGGACTTCCTTGCCTCACCGCTAGCGGCGGCGGCATTTGAGGATTCGGCGGGCGGAGTGGGAGACACTGCTGCTGGTAGTGACGACGACGACGACGATGCCAGTGTTACGCCGCCGCCCGCTTGCTCAGCTCCTTGTGTAGTGCTGTTGCCACTTGCGCCCTCGCCGCTGCCTGCCGACGGCGGTGGAGCCGGTGCCTCCGCTGCTGCTGTTGGTGCTGGTGCACCTGCCGCAGGTTGCGCGCCGAGAGGTTTCTCACTCTCAAGAGGACCAACGAACGAATATTTGAAAGCAGACAGCTCCGGACCTCCAGCCCTCGACTTCTGCTTGGAGTAATGCCAGAAACCATCCCAGCCGATACGGGAGCCAGCGGCGGCTCCGTCCGCGGCGGCTTTGGCGGCTGCCTTGTCCGTGGTCGTCGCTNCGAGGTCATAGGGCAACTACTGCTGTACCACAAGGGGGCACACACTACATCTCATTCATTACTTTTTGGGAAACAAGGAGAACAAGGGAGAGAAGAGCGCAGCCCGTACCACGCGAGTGAGGAGCCGCTGAAGGTGCAGATGTGGGAGCGCCATTCCTCCGCTGGGAGGGGTAGGTCACATTGCCGTCAAGCTGGATAGACATTCGCCGTGAGGAGATTCAGTGTTTTCGTTTCGAAGGACACCACTTCGACGCCAACCAACCCCTGGCCGAGACACTAAGGACTTGCTTGAGGAAGCTCAGGCTGGCGGCGAAACCAACCAAGGGGGCTCCGCAGTATGATGTTAAGGCTGCATGGGGACACGACGCTCGCGCGTGCCGCCCTGTGTCTGCTGCTGCTGGCTCGGGCTGCTGCATGGCTGGGTCTTGTCGTCGCGTTTGTTGATACCACTACAGCCGTTGGGTGTGCACAGCAGGGCCTTTGAAGGACATCATGTCGGGCATCCGTGGATCGCAGACCCGCGGTAAGTTGCCTCCGTTGTCTCGACAGGGCGATGCAGCCCACTCGAGGTCACCGTTCGGGACTAGCAGCAGCAGCAGCGGCAGCAGCAGTATCAGAAGGTCATCCGGAGGTGGCAGAGGGACAGCAGCTGGTCGAGGGAAGCCTTCAACAAGCCGCTTGCAGGAAATTAGTATCCCGGAAGGAATGGATGAAGAGCAGGTGAGCGGGCGTGGCGCCAACTTTCTATGCAAGTGCAGACATACGTTGCCTAGTCGAACAAAGGCTGCGGGTCATGCATGCAGAGAGACGGCAAAGCAGGTCTCGGAACAATCGGATGTTCTTCGTTCGAGAAGTTGAGCTGCCAGCAGTGCTGACGTCTTCTGTGACCGTGCAACTGCGCCCAAAAGATTAACCCTGGTGACATTTTGGATGCACACGCACGCTCTATTGTTGGAATCCTTTTGGTGTTGTAATGGTGCCCAGTAGTTACGACGATACTCTCGCAGTGTTGGAGACCACGAAGACGCTGGTTCCCATACACCACAGCGTTTGTCCGCACTTTCGCCGTCCCTGCACAGGGTAGGTAGGTGCTGCGGTACGTGTTCATGCGGCAGCCCCCAATGCGCACCCTCGAAGATGCTTACCACAACCTAAAACACGATACAAGTCACCAACAATTCCGAGCACAGCCTGCGGTCCTTCGTTAGGCTATCGTAGATTGTTGCGACACCGGTAGGTGCGGGAAAACGAGGACAGCCGCGTTGCCCTACCTAAGAACTCAGCCTAGCCGATCCAGTTTTGGTATTTTAGGCTCTTTCGTCCGGTCGCAGATACTGAGCTACAGATGTACTGCTGTGTGACAAGTGCAAGTAGCCTGAACGATAACTGCCTCGTGCTTCACACGCATGTGCGAATGCATATGCCAGAGGGTATTAGCGTCTCGCCCCCCCCTGCCCCCCCCGTCCTCTCTCTGTCTCTGTCTCTCTTCTTGTTAACCTTTCGTCGTAGGTTTGCTTGGTGACAGGAAGCATCCATCCCGCCGTTCTCGCGTTGCTGTTGTGCTGCTCTCTCGCCTCGTCTCGTGTCGTGTGGCCCTGGCAGGACGACAGCGACGGTCTGGACCGGAGGGCTAAGCAGCTCGTGCTCGACAGTGCCTTCGCCTCCATGATCAACGTGTGTATACATGCATAGGAACACACAGCAACCTGCTGCTGTCGAAAGCCACTTTGATAGCAAGGAAACACAACGATGCGTGGTAGGAAGACGTTTAGTACTCCGTCCGAGCGGCCGAAGATGTAAGTAATCCTGCTGCTGCTGCTGCTGCTGCTGGGTGCCCTTTGCGTGTGGAGAAAACGAAGGACACAGAGAGCAATGGCGGGGGCGACATATCGGTTGCCTGCCAGACTTTCACCTTACTCCCCCCTTCGTGCGCAAATCTTGATGCATGGGTGTGTCACGTCATTTTTTCTGTTGTTCTGTTCGTCGTCGGCTTCGTCATTTCGTTGTCAACTGTTGTTGTATGCTGCTGTTGCTGCTTTCGCCGTTACTGTGTGTTGTGCCGCGCTTTCATCGCCGGAACCAACCAACCTGTTCACAGGATAGCGACCCCGATAAGTTTGACCGCGCCAAGCTGGTGGAAATCTTGACCGCTCCGTACATCGAGGACTCCGGCGACGGTATTGTAGCTTTGGACCCTCACGCCCTCAAGAAGCTCTTCACCACCACCAGTAACCTGTTGCAGGTGACACCCCTCTTCGCTTTCGTGCAGTCTTTGCTCCTCTCGGTTGATGTGAGCTCGTTTGGCCCGTCCGCATGTTTCATGAAAGCCTTTCCACCAACCATGTTTCGTCCTTTTGTGAGTTTTAGGAGATGGGGGTTGAGGGAGAGAGGAAGAGGCTGGCGATGGCGGGGGAGACAGGGGCGATCGAGGAGGACTACCGACAGGGATTGACATCCCACGCCACCAGGCTGAACAAGGTTCGTTGTGTGTCCTGGGTGTGGATTTATTTGATATTTCCATTTGGTTGGATGTGTTTACTGTGGCCCCTTCCTGCCCGCGAGAGATTCCTGTACCCCTTGAGGATATGACACCCCATCCTGCAACTTCTAGGAGAAATGGCCCCAAAGAGAATACGTCTCTTTCTGGTATGATGGGATAATTCATTGTTATAAGTATGTTTTCCTCCTTGGGAACGAAAGTGATGCTTTCACACCCAACTGAAGCTCCCTCCCGCTCCAGTGAGACGCAAATCGATCCGGATGTGTGCAATTGCAGAGGGGTTCGTATAAAGCATGACCGCTCCTGTCGTCTATACTGGCCCAGCCACCCACGGCATGCTTGATAGTCACAAGACTATTTGTTGCGGTCACCATGATTTCCTGCCACCGTGCTGCAATCACACATAGCTATTTCGCAGTCGGTGCCATGACCGCAGTCATGACAATACCGTTACCAGAAAGCATCGAAGCATCATCGTCTGTGTCTGTACCACATAATTGCATCGATTTCCAAATCTCGGTCTCCAACGTGCAGGTACAAGATTCTTTGGAAGGGGTGGAGCACAGGTTTCGCGAGACGGCCCACAAGGCCGTTCGCATCGGCGACCGGCTGTCGAAGATGGAGGGGCAGCGGGCGAGGGCGGCGGAGGCTATGGATCTCCTAGAGTTCTTCAAGGTGCGGTTTGCCGAAATAATTGTTTTGCTGCGGCTGCTCAAGCGCACATATTCCCGGGGACGTGAACACAGATACAGATTTAGAGAACGAGATGACGAAAGAGACAGAGATAGAGATAGAGAGCGACAAGGACAGAGATAATGACAGAGACTAGAGCATGACCTCGAGCGAGAAAAGGGGAAAGAAGTGAACGTTCAGAGGTGTACAGTTTTCACTGTACTCTGCGGGGTAGGATGTGCCTGTCAATCGGTTGGATAGCTTTCCTGTGAATGTAGAGTTGTCCGCTCGGTTTTGCCATACGCCTGTTTGCCGATGGTCATGGAGTATGTAGAGGCAACGGGTAGAGATCGGAGAAAGAAATGACAATAACTTGGCGTCAAGACTGCAGCAACACCAACAGCAACAGAGAGTCAAGAGGAGAAGCACTCCGGCATTGCAGGTTTTCGAAGGCCTTCCGGAGGGATTTTCCGAGGATCAGGACACCGTGGTGCGGTACATGAAGCTCTTGCCCCCCGTGTTCTGCGACGAAGACAGAAGACCAGAAGCCGCGACGGTAAGAAATGGTTTGCTTTTTCCCGCCGCTTCTGGAGGGCTTGGCGAGAAACAATGAAATACTCATCTTGTTTCTAGACTGCATGTGTGTGTCGCTGCCAGTGGACCATTCCTCGCGTCTCTTCGAAGCCAGGGCTTAGCGCGTAGGGGTTTTGGAGCGCCCGGGCGGCGGCGGCGGTCGGCGGGGTAGAGGATGGGGATATGGGAGGCAAAAGCAGGGACAACGTGGATGTGTTTGTTAGTCGGTTTGTGGGGAAGATTTTTTCGCACGTGAAAGCACTCACGAGCGTACGAAAAAATTCGTGCCTCTCCGAAAGCGTCTTGGACGAAGGTCGACGTCCTAGAGATGAGTACGCTACCTGTGGTATTTTTGAGGGATGTGGCTGGTTTGTGCGAGAGATTGAGGCCTACGGTGGTGGGATGTAAGGTATTGTGTATCAATATTTTTTGTGAAGTGTATTATATTTTGGACAACCCCGTCTCTCCCGGCCGTGGGCTGTTTCATGGCCGGACCGAAGAGTAGTTCATATAGTAGTCACAAATTTCTAGTTTCCTCTGGCAGAACCACGACCACATGAGGCTGTCGCTTCCGTGGGGAGTGGGATATGAAACATTTCGATGGGGTAGTAGTCTGTATATTTCGGTGCTCTATTCTCCGCCAGGCCAAAAATGGGGCTGTAATATTATTATCGATTATTATCGAACACGCATGAAACATCTTCGTCTCTGCTACGCGTCTCTATTGTGGGGCTCACGATGATGATCTGGACGTGCGTTCTCTTGGTTTCTGTCATTTGTCCGTGGTTGTCGGTCGTTCGGGTGTCCTTGTTTCCCGGATGCAGGTGTTGGCGAAGCTAAAGAGCATCACGCACGAGCTGGAGTCCAAGGAGCTCGACAAGGCGGCGAAAAACTTGCAGGTCTGTGTCGCTGCCGTCGTTGTTGTGTTACTGTTGCTATTTAACATCTCGATGCTTGTTTCGGCGGTACTCTTGCACTGCCGGTGTGGCGGCCGCTGCTGGGCCTTGCCGCGAACCGTAACCTGCTGTTGCGTTGCTGTGGAAGAGTAATGGTGACGCCAGCTCGTACACCCCCTTCCCAACAACACCACAGGCCTACAGCGACTTCTTGGAGCAAGAGCTGCTGGACCTGTTCGAGCGCGCCGCGGGAAGGTCTCCGCCTGAGGTGGCCTTGATGAGGGAGTGCTCCGACATACTGTTCGCGCTCAACGAGGGGGATCATCTGCAGAGCCGCTTCGTCTTCTTCGTCGTCACGCAGGTACCTACTCTCCTACTATATGTGTGTTTGATGTATATATGTCGATATGCACCATATGCAGAGGCTGCGTGCAAGCAATGGTAGCAGCAGCAGCAGCAGCAGCAGCAGCAGAGAGGCTCTGCATTTTTGCCAGCAGTGGAAGAAAACATTTTTTTTTCTTTTCCGGCGGGCATTCACCCGCCGCTTCGAAAGCGACTCCTGCGTGTCAAGCGTGTTAATAGAGAAGTAGGCCGAGAGAGAGAGAGAGAGAGAGAGAGACAGAGACAGAGACAGAGACAGAGACAGAGACAGAGACAGAGACAGAGACAGAGACAGAGACAGAGACAGAGACAGAGAGACAGAGAGACAGAGAGAGAGAGACACACACAGAGACAGACAGACAGACAGACAGACAGACAGACAGACAGACAGACAGACAGACAGACAGACAGACAGACAGACAGACAGACAGAGTGAGAGAGAGAGAGAGTGAGAGAGAGAGGGAGAGAGAGAGGCCAGAGGAGAGATAATGCAAAAGAGAGGAGGGCAGGCCGCGGGGAAAACTTGCCGATGAACACGCAATGTATTCAGCATTGGGCCTACGATACTGCTGGATGTGGAGCAAGGCGGTCGCACGTGTAGGCGGCTCATTTTCGGCGGCTCCTCACCCCCCGTTGCCCTTTTCCCGCGCAGGAGCTACAGCGGGGAGATGTCGGCCGATCGACGGCCTCCGAGGGCTCCCTCTCGGGCCTGTTCCGCCGCGTAGTGACGGTCTGCCAGAACCAGTTCGCGGTGATTGGTCAGGTTTTCCCGCCGCCACTTGTCGCGAAGGTCACCCGTCTGCTGCTGTCAAGGATCCTAAACGACCCCGTGTACGGCGTTCAGGTACACTCCAATTCGAGGCTGTCTGCTTGCGTTTCGAGGCTTGAGCTTGGTTAAACGTTGTCGGGTTCATGGCTCGTTGTGTGTTCGGTTGGATGAGTGCCTCGTCGAGCGGGAGAGTAGTTCGTGCGGTTTCGTCCAAGCACTGGTGCAGGCACGCATGTGAGGGCAGGTGCTGTCGCTACGTCCTGCTGGTTCTGAGCGTGAGACGCGATGTTGGATAAATGCATCATTCTTTTGTTCTTGTTCTTCTTCGCGCATGTTGTTTCGTGCAGGCGCGAGTGGAGCAGGTGCTGTCGCCGCAAGCACCCATGGAGCCGTTGCCCCTGGCGGACTACCTCAACTGTCTCTGCACCGTCGAGCAGCAGACCGCGGCTTTGTTCGGGATGCTCAAGGCACGCGCTGTCGAGTCGCTTGTGTTTTGTTGTCTGCTCGCTTTTTTTTTTCAGCGTCCGCGTATTGCTTATATATGCAAGAGACACAGACACACACAGAGAGAGAAGAGAGAGAGAGAGAGAGAGAGAAAGAGAGAGAGAGAGAGA